ATTAGCTGGATGGATGAAGGGAATGCAGTGGACGTAGTACACATGGGATTTAGATAGGTATATTCTTGATATAGCTCTGCCTGACATTCTCCGAAGCAAACTGGAAAATTGTGGGCTAGACACAATTACTTTAAGGTTGATACATACTTGACTCAATTATTGGTTTGGTTTATTGAACATGTTTATTAATGTTTTGCATGGTGGAATTTGGAGCTCCTCAATCAAGCTTTTGATAATGCTGTGGCAGGGCGCTTGAGGTGCCGGGCACTTGAAGAGGTCAGGCAGCCTAATTGCGGAGCTAGGTGACCCAGGGGTCCAGCAGGTGAGGTTAGACCTGATCCAGGGAGTTGCCTGATTGTAGGAGGGCTGGGTTTAGACGGGATAAGCCCAGACCCTGAGAGTAGGGCTGGCAGTAACATGTTGGGAGCTGGTGAAGGCACATCACCCAGCAGGAAGGTTGCTGTTCCTGAATGCTAGCAAGGAGAATGACAACTGGAGGTCTGGGTAGAAACTAAGGGGATGAAAGAGCTTCCTGGAGGACCTGGTGTGGGGACCCAGAGCCCTGGGAAGGGGGCTGAGTGCACAGGTGCCTGTTGAGAGGCTGGATGAGCCCAGAGAGAGAGGGACTGAGGTCAAAAGGGCCTAGTAAGAGGCCAGACCAAGCCCTGGGCTGAGAGTCTGTGAGCCTATTGAGGGGCCAGGTGAGCCCTGAGAGAGGGGTCAAGTGTTGGGGAGACCTAACGAAGGGTCTGGGTGAGGCCAGTGAGTGGGACAGAGTAGGGGGGGAGCTATTTAGAGGTCTGGATGAGCCCAGAGAAGGAAGGGGCCGTGTTAGAGAAGACCTGCTTCAAGTAGAGAACTAAAAGGGTCCAGGATGAGGGACCAAAAGGGGTTAGCAGCCCTGGGAGGGAGGCCGAGGTGTCTGGTAGCCCAGGGAGTGGTTGTGTGAGACTGAGGGGTCTGGCAACCCAAGTGGGACTCAGAGGGAGACCGCACAGGGACTGTGCAGAAAGCAGAGTGGGGCTGAGAGAGGCCGAGGGGTCAGAAGGCCGAGATAGGGGCTTCATGAGCAATTGGTAGAATATCTATAAGGATGCCGTCTGTGAGGCATGAGGCATGGTGCAGGGGAGGTATGGAGCCATGCAGTTGGCCCGTAAGGCCAGGACCACAATCCGGCTGGTCACTGTAATAAGACCAGGGCAGCTTCCCACACTGTATAACAACTAACATCGAAGCGTGGAGAGTGAGAGCTGGGCAGACTGCCCATAGAGCAGGGGATCTCAAATTTTGGGGGGGTTACCCTGTGACAGACACAAAACTGGGAAGGGGTGTAAACCCTTTGGAGGATGGGATCAGGCTTCAAAAAGATCTTGATGGGTTGGAGAGCTGGGCCTCAAACAACAGAATGAAGTTCAGCACTGGCGAATGGAAGGTGCTCCAGCTAGGGAAGAATAACCAAATTCACAAATACAGAACGGGAGATACCTGGCTGGGCAGTAGCATTGCTGAGACTGGGTTTGGAGGCTTGCGTGTATTACAGACTCAGTTTGAGGCAGCAGTGTGATGCAACTGGAAAAAAACAGCAAATATCATTATGGGCTGCATCAACAGGAATAGTGTGATAGTACTACCGATCTCGGCACTGGTTACGCCTCAGAGTGCCGTGTCCCATTCTGGGCTCCACATTTTAAGATGGACGTTGAAAAGCTGGAGAGGGTTCAGATGTGGGTAAGCAAAATGCTAAGGGGGGTGGAAGGAAAGTTGTATGAGGAAAGGATGAGAGAGCTAGGTACCTTGAAGAAAAGGAGGTTAAGGACATCATAACAGTTCTCAAATGCTTGAAAGGTTGCCATCAAGAAGAGGGAGAATAACAGCTGAGCAGATTAGATAAGATTTCAAGAAAAACTTCTTTACTCAGAGCAGAGAGACATTGGGATAAGCTGCCCGGGGAAACTACAATTTCTTTTATGGCAGGCTTTCAAGAGGAGGCTATGCAAGCGTTTGATAGAAACAGTTCAGGAGTAGCATGCCTGCGTTCATACAGGGCGTTGGACCAGTGAATCTTTGAGGTCCTTTACGACTGTCTGATTTTGTGAATCTCTGGCTTTTAGAATCCCCCAAAATGAGACGAGGTATTCAGCGGCAGGTCTGCTAATACCACAGTCCTGGCCATGCCATAAGCAATGCTAGTGAAGGTTAGGCCTGCTTCCCTTTCGTGCTTTCTGGCACAATTAAAGCAAGTGCAATTAAGTTACAAAGTAGGCCGATGCAGTTCCTGTTACTATGCAGTTCACCAAAACATGGGTAAGTTAGTGTTTGTGGTGTGGCTGAAGGATGTCCTATTCTTAAGCAGTTTAAATAGTTTACTAGTAGGCAGAAACCTGGAGTCTGTTACCATGTAAGCCAGTGGTTCCCAACCTTTTTAGACTGCGGACCAGCAAACCACAGGCTGGAAGTGACCGCGGACCAGCAAGCTGTGGACTAGCATGCTGCAGATCGGAAGTGACCAGCGTACTGCGGACCAGCAGCCGACACTTCTTTATTTTTGGTATAAAATGGCATGCTGCTGGTCTGGCAGCCGACCCTCCTGCGGACCAGCAGGCAGCCCTTTGCGGCCCGGTACCAGGAACCTCTGGTGTAAGCAATGGGGAACACAATGGGTGCGCTAGGCACTTACATGAGTTATGCACGTCTCTGGTACGTATATAAGTGGAGTACACCGTTCTTGCTTATTCTGTGGCATGCCACAGGCTCCTGGCACATGTTACATTTAAGATGTAATTAACCAATTAATTGCATCTTAAGTTGTTGCCTGGTCACACGTTAATGCAATTAATGACATGATAAAACAAGGAATAAACCATGAAGTTATTACAGAAAAAATGTATAACAGCTTTTTGGTGGGTTCCTATCATGCCGTCAAGCGTACCCTGCTACTTGCTGGTGCAGGGGGATCATGATCCTGGGCTTCCCCTGCACTGGCAATAAAGTGTGATTGAATCTGGTGCTGGATCTCACAATCGCACCTCTTGCCATGCGTATTTGGCATTTCAGGAAGCACAATTGTGGGGATCTCTCATCAGGTACCATCGCACCTTCTCTCGCGCGTCTGCTAGGGGCCACGTACTATGAGAGAAGCAGAGTCATTCAGCCTCTGCTTCTGGGGGTATGTGGCTAATAAAAGCAGGAAATACTTGCTTTCTTCATATGTTGTTGGATGAATTATGTTTCAGGACTTGCAAAATCCAAGTACAGACTGGTAGCTATGGAGAGTAGTAATCATTCATCTTTGGCAGGATTCAGCTGTGTGTGTTGCTTTTTTAAATCAAAGCTGTTGAGCTTGTGCAGGAAATCTCCTGTGTGTGAATCAGTGCTGCGTTGTTTTCCTGACCTTACAGTCAGGCAGCTCTGTTTTTATCTGTGTTTTATGGAGCTAGATGCAATATAAAAACCTCAAAGGGCAAAATACGATGGGAGTAAAATGTTGTACAAGCTAATTTGTCTTGTTAACAACTCTGACCAACTTTTGGAAATAGTTTTTTAATATGCTTTTTTAAAAAATGTTTTCCCCAGATTTAAAATTATAATTTTAAAATGACTGTTTCCTATTCTGCCAATTTTTAAACCACTGAAATTATATCAGCAGGTCACTCTGTTCCTCTGCTTGTTGCCTGATGCTATAAAATTGCAACTTCTGCTTCAAATTAAGATAATCTTGGGGGAAATAACTACTGTGTACTCTCCTAAATTAGTGATAAAGGTTTAAGGGTCTTAGCAAACTAACTATAAAACTTTTCAGTGGTCAGGATTTTTATTTGATAATGGTATTTTTCAAATTCTGCAGTAAGCTATTTGATGAAAGCCACCTGCTAACAGTTACAACTGTGGCTGTAATGTAGTGCTCATGGATTTTTGTCTCATTGTTAACTTGTCTTGACTTCCATAATTTATTAATTAGGGGCATCCTCAGTCAGTCTGACTTCTTTTGCCATCATTTGCTGTTTTTATATATATATATATATATAGGCATGTGATGACAGTTTTGACTGTTTGTGAGCTACCGATGTGTTTCTTTGACACACTTCTGCTGTCCTACCACCATCTTTGTCTCAATCTAAAAAAAAAAAATCTCAACTGCTTTCTCCGTGCTAACTGAGCCCCACAGTTCTGGCCAGTGAACCCAATCCTATCGGCTCTCGTGCTGGTGGGCCCTCTGTAATCTGTGGTCCTAAGTACCTTTAGATGAAGGCAACTAAAATGCCACATCTAAATACCTTTTCCTGGTGTATTCTTTATGGGGGGGTTGCCTACAATGCAGCTGAATCAGTGCACGTGCTTTATCTTTATTTGTCTGTCCATTCCATAGCTCACTAACTTTATTTTTACGTTGTACAGTCATAAAGCCAGAACTTCAAACATAATACGTGAAGTCGCACATCATGTTGCTGTGCAGTGGCTGATCCTCTCGCAGAATAATGGATTTATTAGTACTGTACTGCCAGTAAGAGGAATCCCTTCCTTAGCTCCTGCAGCACAAGTTCTTAATCCTTTTCTTGAAGGACCTGGGCTCTAGTGCTGGCTCAGGGATGTATATGTACACGAAAGAGAGCTCTGTAGCTTGTAGCGCATATGGTCATGCACTTATTTTTCCAAGAGTTTAGGTTATGTCCAGCGACTTTTCTCATTTGACATAAACATGTGCCTTTCCATGTCTCTACACACATTCTGGTGAAGCGAAAGATGGCATTGATAACAATTGTAAATGTTTGCCTCTCACCACCTCTGCTCACGAGATGGAACCGTCTGCATAACTTGCCATCTCAGATTTTTAAGGAATAGATATTGTGGGTGTCGTAGCTTGTGCTAATTTTCATACAAAACCAGTTCCTTATCTGAAATTCAGAACTAACAAATATGCATTTAGTTTGAAAATGGTGTAAATGACTTCTCTTTCTTTAGAGGCAAGTGCAAAATTAGTTATCTTCGTTACTCTGTTTTAGATGAGAAGAAGCAGCTGATTGCAAATGTGGAGAAACAGCTGGAAGAAGCAAGAGAGCTGGTATGTCACAGAATTTCCCCTGTATTTTATGCCAATTCCTCTAGAAGAGATAAATGAAAGTACCATTAATGAACAATTTAACATATGTTCAGTAATGCCCTGCAAACAGCCATGCAGATCTTGTAGATTATGAAACACAAGCAGGAAATATTTATCAAACTTTCTAATCATAAGACCAGTAGACTGCAACAGGCTTTGAGGTGTATTTTTATCTTTCTTTCTGCAGAAACCTAAAAACAATCCTTGCACAATTTTAGTACCATTTCTGTGGAAGATCTTCACAAGCTGTAATTAAATTAAGTTACTGAATACCCTTGTGGAATATAAGTATTCTCTTCCATGTAAAAGATGTGGAAACTAAGGCATATAATTGTAAAATGAGTTGCCTGCAGTCACACACAGGCTGGGTGGTAGCATTAGATGCTGATCCTGGAAGAACGTTGTTCAGAGCAAAGAGATCCCACTGTTCAACCAGAAGTTTTACCTTTTTATTACTTTCTTATTTTCAACAGCCATATTTCTTATGATGACAGATCATTTAAGAGTAAGAATGAAATGCACAAATACTACAGTATGAAGTAAAAAAGGCAGCATCTATCCAGATGTATTCAGAATATGCACAGGATTTCAGATCTATGCATTCAAGCAAGTAGCCTGTCATATTTTCCCTTCAGGAAATTATGCAAGGTGGGGAACTTTCTACTTCATTACGGTGGATTTAGAAAATACCTTTTGGAATTGCATTCTGAGATTCGTGGATGGAAGGTGCCAGAGGGCAATTTTTTCTTCTTGTAGTTGCTAAATTGAGATCGAAGTGTGGAATGGGAGCTCAGCCTTCAAGCCCTGAAACTTTCTTCTGTAGCATGATGAGATAACTTTCATTTGTGGACTTTGTCTGGGAGGTACAGGGCATTTCAACAGATGTACGTGTCTTTTATTGCACATGCATTATGCTGGCAACCTCCAGCTTTGGCTGATTACGTGCAATTTTGCAGTGTCATTCTGTAATGTGGTTCTCGCTGATCTCCGTGGAAGGCCAGTGCTTTCATTGAGTCGCAGAATTTGGTCCTTTATGCTAAAAATTCTTGAGCTAGTGCAAAGTCAGAGCAGCTCCTTGCTGATCGAGCAAGTTCCCTCCTTTCTCATTTTCTCCAGTATGCTCGCTTAAACTTCTCTGTTGAATCCTATTATTCTGTGGAAGAACCTTTCTGAATGATTAAATATAAGCACGTGTGTTTTTACAAATTCTGAGAGCATCAGCTTTTTCTAGTTCCTGTTGGTTCAAGGAACCATGGTTTAAGGAGCCATAGAATAGTTCAATAGGAATTGAACCTGTGGCCGAGGGGAGAACGAGAGGCAAAGTATAGTTCCCGCTGAAGTTGGATGTTCCCATGCGGTGAACATCGCAGTGGATTCTGACTCCCAAGCTTAGCAAAATGTTGCCAGGAGAGCTACACCACTGCAGTGGAGTCAAGCTGTTGCTGCTGCCGTGCAGCCAACATAAGATAAGTGTCAAACACTCCCATGCCTTCTGCTTGTATCGGCTGGTTGCGAATAAGGGCACCAAACTGGGAGCCAGGAAACTTGGGTTCTTTGTCCCAGGCTTTCTGTGTGACCATCTTCAAGCTTCCTAATCTCTCCTGGCATCCTCATTTGGAAATAGGGAGATTATTATTCCCCTGCCTCACAAGGGTGTTCTGAAGATAAATTAATGATTGGAAGATGCTTTGATACTCTGAGCAGTGTGAGGATGTAGACTGACATTCTTTCTTCCCTTCACTGCTGCCACTTGACAAAGAAGACATTCAGTGATGCAGGGAAACATTACGGGTTTCTTGGTGAGAAATATGTCAAATACTGGCTTTGTGTTCAAAGTAATTCTCTATTATTGGGAGGGTTGGAATGAGCAGGAATTGGCTTAATGGCTCATTATTTTTCTTCTTATGTCATAATAAATACAAATTTGGATGACCTTTCTGAAGATTAAAAAGAGAGTCCTGCTTGAACATTTTCACCCTAATGATGATGATCTTCATTTCATGTATTTCCATTTTCTTTTATGCTTTTGGGTTTTAGATCTCGTTGCTAACGCTACTAGACAGGTGCTTAACACAATTATTGGTTTTAAGCAATTATCTAACATGTTAGTGATTAATGTCAAGGCTTAGGTTTAAAAATTAATTTGAATAAAAACCACTACTAACAGAACTGACTAAAAGGGTCTCCTTTTAAACTAAGGGCAGTAATAAGAAACAAAAGAAACCCTTGTTCTAAATCACTATCATTTTTAGTTTTGATGCACAGATTTGCTCAGTTGTAGTCTAGGTTTGAGGCACCGTCACACTTCCCCATTTAATTCACTTCATCTTGTTTCTTCTATGGTAGTAGGTTTGATTGGCAGCACACAGATGAGTTAGTTATTCAGTCAATTGACATTAGGCATCATAAATTGGTTTTTGGATATATAACATCTTTCAGCCTTCTAGATGGTCCTATGAAGAATTAGACCTCAAGAAAAATGTTCTGATCCAAGCATCTCCTCTGTAGTAATATCCAAATGCTATTTGGGTGGTGTACGTGCTTTCAGAGAGAGAAAAGTTGTCAGATTTTTGACAAGTAAGTGTCTTAATATCTAAGCGCAAGTTGCCTTTCTGCAGCGCAAACGCAGAACGTGTGTAGGAGTCCTGTGTATTTTGGTCCTGGAGGAAAAAAAAGTGGGACACACGATAGGGGATGTCACAAAGGGCACGTCTTTGACTCTGCCAAAGTAAAGTCTCTAAGTGTTTGTTGAATGGATGGGTTTGAGAATTTGGTTATAGACACATCCTTTTTAAAATATGTAGCATTTTCACAATGGGTCTTTAGAAACTTTAAATATTGCAGTTCACAGACATTATATAGAATGATGGAAATGGTTGATTTTTTTCTCTTCATAAATGGGTGGTTTTGTTTTTGGGTTTTTTTGTATGTCGGTGCAGATACAAGGGAGACCTCTGAATCTCTTCTGGAACCTTTTAGTAATGGACAAGACATTTCACCTTTTTGCATAGGGAACCTTTTGTTTCTCTCCTAACAAATGGATTGTGTTGGCTACATGTTTCTGTGTTACAGAATAAATGTCAGAAAGGAATGATCTGCTGATCATGACAATTTGAAATGAAAAGGATAGTGAGGGACCTGAGCAGGAATTCATGCATTAATGAGTACCAAATATTTGATGTGGATCGTCACAGAGGATGCTAAATGGGTTTCTTTTGAAATGACTGTCTGGAAGAACTTGAGCATTACCCATCTTCTCTTACAAGAACTTGGGAGGATGTTAGTGGGATACCAATTGGATTTGCCTGTTTTTATTATTCCACCAATAATCCTAAAAACCTTTGTTGAACTATACTGCAGGGGTTCCAACATCCTTTTTAGTCCATACTCCAACATGGGGAAAACCACTTGTAAGAAGAGGAAGCAATTCAGGATTCTTGATTGTATTAATTTTTATCTAGGCAGTTGCAAATAACCAAAAAAGAGTAGATCGTCCTGCACCCAACATTGTTCATGCATTTTTTGACATTGTTTGACACTCAGGTGTTGTTACCTCTGAAACATTCATGGCTGTTTGAATGGGTGCCACCTCCTGCAAACTGCAGTCACAAGAGGGCAACAGGATCACATACTTGATCTGATCTGCACTTCCATCCGGGGGAAGGATGCGTGTTATATAGGAGACGGGCACACACATACCAGAATGCATTATTACATATCGTATGCTGCTATTTGTTATATGTTTGATTATTATAAGTTATCTTATTAGATTCTAATATTAAAATCATGATGAAAATTCAGGGGGAGAATGTTTTGATACTAGATATACTGATGTTTGTGCTTTTTTTTTTTTTTTAACCTATAAACTTGGTAACTGTGTCCTCCATGGGTCATTTAATTCCTTCCCCAGAAATTCTTATATTTATTCCTGTGCCTTTTCAGTGTATGCTAAATTCTTTCTTAAGAGAGAGAAACAAGGGTATATTGGCCCATTTTACTAATTGTGCCCTTTATTGTTCTTTTATAGACTTTTTTTTTTTAATCTAAAAATATAATCATAGCTTATAGGTTAAAATTTGTGGCAGAAATGGAGAGACTTGTTTTCTATTGTATTGCCATATTTTCTCACATATAACACAACCTAGGGTATAATTTACACCTTTGTTTTGAGAGAAGGAAGAGGGGGAAAAAAAAAATTCTTTGTAGTAAGTTGCTGAGGAGGAGAGGTAGGGAGCCAAGCCTGGTCATTGTTCTGCTCTACATGAGCTGTATGCAGACTTTACTTTCACATTTGTTCATAACCAGCAGAACCTGCTTTTGCCCTATTTATTGCATATGCTGCACACTCCAGTTTTGAGCTGATGATTTGGGTGGAATAGTGTGTGTTTTATGTAAGGGAATGTGGTATCTTATTTCTCAGCCTTGTTCTTAGAGGATGGACTAAGTTGAAAAAGGCTTAAACTAAAGAGCTATTTTCAAATCGTCTAAATCAGGAGTGCTTAGACTTCTGGCCTTGCAGCCTAGATGAGTAACATGGGGCCAGTCCTCAGGCTATGTTGGGCACTGCTCGCGCAGCTGCAGTTAGCGCCCACATGCCAGGTTCAGGCCCCACACCACCCTGCGTGCCCGATACAGCATGCAGGGCTGTGCTATCCAGCCTGCAGGGCTCCCAATGGGCCCAAAAATTTGGTATCGGGGGAGTGGTGACACTTCTTCCCTGCTGCCAAATTTTATGGACATATGAGGAGCCCTGAGGGTCAGATCATATGACACCAGGTACCAGATTTGGCCCACAAGCCAGGGGGTACCCCTGCTCTAACCTTGTGGTCTGCTCTTGTATTCGGACATAGCAGACCACACTACTGTCACCCTGCGAATGGTTGGAAACCACAGTCTGGGACTGTTAAACTGAAAGTGTACTTCCTAGTGTAATATAATCTCATAGATTTCATAGACATTAGGGCTAGAAGGGACCTCGGAAGATCATCGAGTCCAGCCCCCTGCCCAAAGGGCAGGAAGTCAGCTGGGGTCATAGGATCCCAGCAAGATAAGCAGCCAGTTTCATCTTGAAGGTGTTCAATGAAGGCGCTTGAACCACCTCCGGTGGCAGGCTGTTCCAGACCTTGGGGGCTCGGACAGTAAAGAAATTCTTCCTTATGTCCAGCCTGAAACGATCTTGAAGTAGTTTGTGACCATTTGACCATTTGACCTCTATTTTTTTTTAATTTGGTTTCCATTGCATTAGAATAGAAAACTGTAACAGGGCAAGTTACTTTGCTGACCCCACAATTTCCTTTCCACAATTTACAAAAAAAGAAACGAAAAGAAAAGGTTCCCATCTTGCTCTGCTCACCTGTGACACAGAAATATGACTTTATAACTATTGCTATTTCTAATCATAAGCGGGGCAAAAGGTAATTGGCTATAGAAAAGAATCCGCTTCCTCAGCTGTAGTACCTCTGCTGCTCTGTTTTGCTTGGTAATCATAAATTTACCAGCCTGGGCATAAAAATATGCTTGTCTGCCCTCAGGATAGCAAGGATGATAACTGTCTGGATGGAATGGAGCTTAGACTCGAAGTGCTTGTACTGTGCATATCTAAACGCACGGTCGGTATTTTCCCCTTCATCTAACTTAGAATATTTGGCATTGACCACTGCTGGAGTGAAGGTACAGGACTGCATTGACCAGTGATTTGATCCTGCATGATAAATCCTACATTCCTCTGAAAAGCTGTTTAATTTTTTACTTAAAAAATGAACAGTTAGAATTCTCTCATGTTCTGAAACTGCAGGCAGTAAGGGAAGGTATGGCTCTGTACTTGTAAGAGATCAATAGCTTTCCATATTTATGGAGATCAAATGGATTGAAAATAAATTGGTGCAGTACAAGCCCTTTAAACTAAGCCAACTTTGTTTTGGAAAGCATTTTGAAAAGGAACAAAAAGCTATTGTGTCAAACAGCGTC